GAAGAGCATACACTCCCCGTGGGTGTGAGACCCATTGAGGATCTCGGAGAGTCTTGGTGCGAACTGCAACCTTCGCTGTCCCTTCCAATTCCTTAATCAGTTGTGGTCCAGCAAGGTATCTCTTCTTGTGCTCAAACGTCATCAAGTACTGAACTGCCTCCTCCTTGTACAACAGAAGGAGCTCTGGTGTACCGTCATACTTTGGCACCATCTCCGGTCCTTTGGATGGACCTCTCCGCCCTCTCCGCCATCTGCCACAGGGGCTCCAGCGGTCCGACAACCTTCAAAAACCAAACCAGGCTCCGGCCACCATGCAAAATAGCTTAAGGCGGCCTTTCGTTCACTAACCTACGGGGAGTTCTGAGCACTAAATACGTGGATGGGCGCCATGTCAATTGCATAATGTATATATATATATAAATAAATATATACATATATATGTGCGTGTGTGTGTTCAGGACACCGTGCACTAGATCACAGTGTTCACTGCACTTTATGGATGGAGGGTGATTGGGAATTGGAATTATCATCCCCTTAAAGGAGATCATAATCCCCAACAGGAGCAAGGACGCTACTACGGGCTCCTGGCCTTACTACTAGGAACAAGAAGCTACTAGGAGCAAAGGGCATCGCTACTAGGAGCAAGGGCGCTACTAGTTAAGTTTCCCAAAAAATGTAGGAACCAAATCATTAGTGCGAACGCTTCTTGAAGGAAGCTTACCCCGCCACCCTCGGGGAGCTTCCTTGAAGAAGCACGAGCTATCCTGCGTCCAGTTCCTAGTAGCTTAAGTAAGCTACTAGCAGCCTACCCCCCCACGCTTTAAGAACAAACAAAAGAAAGACATCCCCAACAACCGTTCCCAGTCTCCAGGAGATTGTCCGGGCCATCAGCCCAGCTTTCGGTGTGGTAGCCTCCAAGGCTCGCAACCCACGGCCGGGGAAGGGGTCGAAGTCCGATCTTAGAAGTAGAAGTGGGCGTGGATGACATGAGACCGTAGACCATCTCGATGATTTTTGTTTTTGTTTGTGTTTCGTCGCCTTCGACGGAGGTCTTGATTTCTATGGCCTTCCTGGGTGGCTCATTGTGCGCAGCCTTCGTGGTGGCCCTGGCGGCCACTTGGGCGCTTTGTGAGGCCGCCAGCCTGGAGGACGCCTACGCGTTGGAGCAATCGCCTACAGATGCGCCCTTTTTCTACGGTAGCTTTCTAAGCGCTTCCTGGATTGCAGAACACATCAGAACACAAATGGATAAAGAAATACTCCAGTGCTGTGAGCACTGGTGTGCATGTAGGAGAATGGGAATTTCTCGAGACATGTGGAGATTTCCGGGCAGGTGGAGTTTTAAAGCAGACACAGCGGGTGCAGGGGGGCGTCGTATCAAGTTTTATGTATAAAACTGCCGTCATCCCGCATTGACACTTCATGAGCTAGATTGTTCTCAAGATCATGTTTTTCACTTGAAATTGCTGTTTGCCGGCAAATATTGTTCTATCACATTTTTGCCAGCTTGATCCTGAAACTCAGCTCAGGTAGTTGTACTTGGGGCATTGGTCCTTTTGTCTGGCGTGAACACCGTTCGGCTGAATGCTCCTCGCTTTGCTTAGCATGCAGCTTCAATCCTTCCAACAGCCCTGGGGCACTTTTGAACATGAACCGAAGAATCAAGCATGCATTAGGTTGGTATATATGTAATTTCATGTACGGTAATTTCACGCATGACATGACCTCCCAAACATTCCCAAACTATGACACTACACGTCACCGCCAAATGCATGCACTACTGCACATGTCATGAAAGAATCTCGCGGGAAGGTTTGGGTGGAGCTGCTCGACGGTATACTGATGCCTGTAGCTGTGGGCTTTCTCTACTTGCTTGCCATCAGTGAGGTGGTCCCCGAGCCAGTGCGAGTGATTTGCCAGACAGTACTGGTGTTGATGTGTTGGTTTGATCCAAGCTAATTACCAAATTCGGGAGACATTGTATTTCATGAATATGCAGTGGACTTCCTCCAGTGGGTTTCTCAGAATTGGTTTGTTTGTGCGTTTTAGCCCTCCCCCATCCCCACCCCACGAAAGAGAGCGTTCAAAGTGACCCTGTCCGTTGGCTTTTGCCTTCGAGGTGAAAGGAGCCTACAAATGGGTCACAGGATGTGTTTTTACCATCGCGGCTTGGGAGTTTAAGCATTTGCCGTGTGTTGCCATGTTATCGGAGGCACGGCCGTGTCAAAGTGCCGGGCACCAAAATGTTGAATTTGGAGATGTGCACGCCCACACGATCACAGCAGCCTTTCAAATATGTTCCTGTGCGCGTTGCATGGCAGAAGGTGACAACGGCTAGAGGAAGAAAGCAGACAAAGAAAGAGTCAAATCTCAGAGCAAAGGAGATCAAAAGAGATAAGAACCAGAAGAGAAGAGAAGGAAGAAAGCAAGCAAGAAACCAAGGAACCCAGGTATGCGGAGCGAAGCAGAGAAAGAGTCGACGGTCCCTTTTTGGCTGATTTTTGGGTCCCTGGTCAGTTTGAGGTTGCCGCTATATCCATCACAACTGCCGGCGGTGGCTTCATCAGCGAGCACTTGAAGGACACGCAGATCATCGGCTAGCTGCCCAGCTGGAATCTGGCAGGGTGTGGGCAGGGTTATTCCCTGCGGCCGAAGCTTCTTGAAGGCCTGGGGATGGAATGACACATTTACATTTTACATCATTTGGCTATATTTTTTAAAGTTCCGTTCAATTGTTCAGCCAAGGTTTGGAATACTGATTTCATGGACGCTACCCTTGCCCTGAAGCATTCAATCGTTCGCTCACCCGACCAGATGCTGTTAAAAGAGCTTGAGTGCGCGGTTAGAGCGTGCTTCACTAACTTCACTGTCACGCCAACTAGTGCTGCTGTACAATTTCCCAGCGGCTTCTGAGGCCACACTGATATCCATAAACATTGATGCCTTCAGCGTCTTCTGCCTCAGCATAACCCATGTAATGTAGCCAGTGTCTAGCCATTGCGGCCTTTCCTATGACTTGAGCCATTGCCACAGTCAGCCTGCTCGTCTCAGATGCATTTGACTGTAAATTCAGTAGTAACAAGTGCAGCGCTACTACCAACAAGGGCATTACTACTACACCAACAAGAAGCTACTAGTAGCAAGGCGAGACTCATGGTGATTGAGGTATCCACGGTGGCGTTGGAGCAAATAAACGCCAGGGTCTTGAGACCGCTAGCACAGTAGGCGCATATGGAGTCATTTGCACCGCACCGAGTTTGAGGGCCATTGGAAGATCTTACACTAGAGCTTCTTGTTACTAGTAATGCACTTGTTACTAGTAGCGATGCACCTTGTTACTAGTACTGTAGCTTTTCTTTTGCATTGATTAAGCTTGTTCAGTTTGTTTGTCAACGAATGTGTTTGGCCGCATGCACTGGCGCAAAGACCTGCAGCGAGGAGGGCTACACAGTGCGTATGGCTTTTGGGATGGGTGCGCACGTGACAAGGCGCTGGACCTGGATGAGTTGATGAAACTGGCAAACCTGACCCTTCCAACGGCCGGGGGGCCTGCCGAAAGCTTGAAAGTGTGAGCACCTCGTGGGCTAGCTGCCAAAAGGGGCGCAACAAGACACAGTGCCAATATTCGCCAGGGCCTCAAGCGAGAACTTTTTGTGGTCGAGTTGAAGCTTTCCTTCAGGCAGCATCAATCCTGTCCACGGTGGTGGCCATGGAGGAACTTGAAGAGAGGGAATGTGGGGAAGTTCATGGTTTAGGATTAGTTCCCTTATCAATCAGTATTAATGTGAGACATTATTGAAAAAGCTGCACAGTGTGTGATTGAGGTGTGAGGTTTCGCAAGGGAATCCAGAGTCAGACCTCCCCATTGATGCCTTCTTGTCAGAATGGGTATTTATTCAATGGCTAATGATGCTAATTATTGCAGTAAAATTCAATGTAGTTCAACACTTTGTGGGACAAAAGGGCGCAGCATGTACCCGCGGCAGTTCAGTGGGATTACTGTTCTGACGGTGAGACCACCGCGCACAGGCATTTTTTGTCCAAGAAGAAAAGGTGTGAGGTTTTTGTCGAGGGTTATGAGCCCAAGACCCTAGCGCGGTTCCGCGCGAGCGATGGCGACCGAACGGTCACACTCGGTGCCGGCGAGTGGCAATGCGGCCATCGTGAATCCATGGTGGTCGGAGCGGCTGCAAGCTGAGGCGCTGTTGCGCCACAAGCGACCCGAGGACTTGCCAGTCCCACAGGACGAAGACTTGGACCTGGAAGCGGTGCAGGATCAGAACACCGCTAGCGGCTTGGGAAAAGGTCGGGGTGCACTGACCTTGGGCGGACGGCTGTTCGTCACACCTCCGAGCCGCCGTGGTTCCGAGGGAAGAGGCCGAGGTGGGTTTGGAAAGACTGAGGGTCAAATGCCTGGGGAGTCCAGTGGGGAGCCTCCAAGCAGGCGAGACAAAACGATGGGACCAATCCCACCGCAGTATGCTCCTCCTCCGAAGCATGCACCGCCCCCAAAGCCGGATGTAGATGATTCGTGTGGGCTGCAGCGTGCGATGGAAGCGGAAATGGTGATCTTCCTGAGGGAGGAGAATGAAAAGCTTCAAGAGGAAGTCTCCCGACTTAGGCAGCAGCAAGCCGCCAATCGTTCGGGCCCGGTTTCGACACCTTCATCATGGGAGACGGTTGATGGAGGAGTGGGCACTGGGGTTAGGGAGAGTGGTCTACATGATGGAGGTCCTCACGTACATGTTCGTGGTGCAGCCCCCCAAGGTAATGGTCTGTATAGTGATGGTGACCCTATGGTGAGCACTCCAAGAGGAAGGAGTCCGACCACTCGAAGGCTCCAAGTCTCTCAGCAGATGCGGTTCACACCAAATGGAACTCAGATTTCTAACGGGCCACCGCCTTTGGACTTGGATGCACCTCCAATGCCACCTTTTCCCACAAGTGTCTCAGCTGAAATTAGTGGTGACTCGGCTGAAATTCAGATGCAGCACTATGAGCTCTTCGATGCTAAGCGGCGAGGTGACTCGCAGTGGGTTCCGCTCTGCATGCGGGAGGGCAAATCCTATGCGCCGATCACCGCGGAGGACAAGACCGAGCGCCTGGAGCGAGAAGTAAGCGAGCTCAAAGCTGCTTTGACTCAGATGCGCGGCAACTCGGCGGGATCTAGTGAGGCGGTTCCGCCTCCATCAGTGACTTGTGCCTCGCAACCTCAAAGTTTTGGGTGGGCCCCTACGCGTGGATCTGGTGTTGGTCTGGGACGTGATGGTGTCTCCCCAAATGATGGTTGGGCTTCCGTTCAAAAGGAAAGGTCTTCTAGTGTGGGACCTCGTGAAGGAGGCGACATGCCTTATGGTCGATGGCACCAAGCTCACGGGCAGCCAGCCATGCCGCTGCCTTGGAGTGAAGGCACTGGCAACAGCAAGGCCGAGCTTGTCGAGTTGGCCTCTGACGCTTCACCCATTGAATTGGGGGACTGGTTGGCTGTTTGTGGCCCAGTGATGAGGGATCTTTCTTCGGTCAGCGCTCGCTGGTGGAATCTCACTTTGAGGGAGGCTCAGTGCTTCTACGACCGGTGGAAGACATCATCTCCGCTGGAGCGTGTCCAGATTGTGGCCCGACTTCCTGATGAGTTGTTGGATGGCTGCTATCAACGCACGGAGCAAAGAGGAGTGAATCTGTTGCTGAGGGCGATCCCTGCAGACCAGCAGCAAGCGCTCATCACGGCCAGAGAGTTGAACTCCACGGCCCTGTTGTTCAGGCTTCTCATCCGCTATCAACCAGGCGGTGCAGGGGAGAAAGCCATTTTGCTGTCCAAGTTGACCACCCTGGACAAGATCACTGGAGCTTCGGATCTTGCAGCAGCTCTACGCTCATGGCGTCGTCATTACGCCCGGGCTCAAGAGGTTGACGCGGTGCTGCCGGATGGCACTTTGTTGTTGAAGGCCCTTGAGCCTGCTTGTGTGTTGGTGGCTTCGCTGGATGCTCAAGCTTCCTTTCGGTTGGCGCAGAGCCGGTTGCAGTTGGCCGTGGATCAACAGCCTATTCACCAGAGTGTTTGGAGGTTCAGTCAATGCTTGCTGGCGGAAGCCGAGACCCTTTCGCTGTTGGGAACGCCTTCAGGTGGGCAGCCCTCTCCTGTTAAGGTCAAGCAGCTGGACGCACCGCAGAAGACGACTTCAGTTTCCTTCCCTGGTGACAAGGGCAAAGGAGGGCCAGCTGGATCTACAACCAGTTCAACGCCTTGCCGGTATTTCCGCTCTGATGCGGGTTGTAAAGCTGGAAAAAGCTGCAAATGGTCTCATTCCTGGGAGGGCATCGAGGACAAACATACCCGTTGCTGGATATGTGGCGGTAAGGACCACAGAAAGACGGAGTGCAAGTTGAAAGCACAGATCAAGTCCTCGCCAATCAAGGCAAGCAAGGGCGCTGGTGAGCCGGGTCCCGGCTCAGGGGGAGGGAAGTCTCAATCCTCTTCCAATGGGACCTCCAATGCCGGATTGCAGTCAAGTGGCACCACGTCACAAGGGGCCGCAACCGCAAAGCTGCAGGAGATGGAGGTTCAGCAGGACGGCAATAGCGCCACTGGTCCGGGCGATGGTCAATCGGGGGAGACAACAATGGTGAAAGGGGGTGCGGACACAGGGGCAACAACCAGTGAAGCATTGCTCCATGAAGCCACACAACTCCTCAAGTCCCTACGTGCTCCTCAATTGCGTGTGATAAAGGTGAGTCAGCTTGACTATGACACCAGCGGGTCTGCAGTGCTTTTGGACTCGGGTGCAACTCATGCACTTCGCCCAGCAGTCGACCTATGTGAATGGGAGGCTGCACAACCTACACAAGTCACCCTGGCTGAAGGAGTTTCCAACAAGCTCCGTTTGAAGCAGGACTCAAAAGTGCTTCTCTCTGCTCCGCATGACACAGAGCTGGACAAGTCATGGATTGTTCCCTTGGGCGGCATTGCGGAGCTGGGCTATCGTTTTGAGTGGAAGGGTTCCTATTGTTTGTTGAAAGATGATCGTGGCAACAAGTTGGAGGTGACAATACAACACGGTTGCCCTATGGTCAACAAGGAGCTGGGACGGCAGATGATTGATCGGCTGGAGCGACGTCAGGTGCATTTGGCACAGAAGGCCTTGCTCATCAAGACATTGTTTGCACAGCCGTCAATGGTCCCTATGGCTCCACCTTTGTCAACAGAAATGGCTCTTACACTCAAGCTGAAACATCTGTTTCAGGATGTGCTGGACGACCTTTTGATGAAAGTGATCCCAGATCTCTCGGATCTCCAACAGGTAGCGGATGGGTCATTGCTCCCTTGGAACCGGCGGAAAAGAAGACGCCTTGCCCAGGCGAAGCAAATCGTCATCCACCTGTTTTCTGGCCCTGATGCCAGATACTGGGAGAAAGCCCTTCAACAGAATGGAGTAGAAGTCCTTTGTGTGGATCTACAAGCAGCAGTTGCAGCCGACTTGCATGATGACAACGTCTATCGGTTTTTGCTGGCTCTCGCTGCAACAGGCCGTGTCAAGGCCATTGTGGGCGGACCGCCCTGTCGCACTGTGTCGGCTTTGCGGTATCAAGATGATGATGGACCAGGCATCCTGCGGTCAGAAGAGCATCCCTATGGCCTCCCCTCCATCTCACTGGCAGAGCAGGCAATGGTTTGGGGTGATAGCATCCTCTTGTTCAGAATGTTGGCATTGTACGTGCTGTGCGAGGATGTTCGCCATGATCATGAGCCACAGACAGCTTTAGCATTGGAGCAGCCTGAAGATCCTGCCCGCTACAGACCTCGTGCAGAAGTCGAGAAGAAAAAGTTCATGTCCATCTGGAGGACAAAAGCTTGGCAGGTCTTTGCCAACACCTACCAGATCCGGATGCTGCATTTCGATCAAGGCCCTATGGGTCATGTGCGAAAGAAACCTACAACCCTGGCGGTCAAGCTCCGAGACATTCAGGCCTTGGATGAAATCCGCGGTCCTCCATGTGGTGGCGAAGAAAGTGACCAAGATCGACGTGGCATGCCCCTGCAAGACCGATGTGATCAGTCCAAACAATGGGCAGCATGGGCCCCTGGGCTTAAGGTGGCTTTGGTGTTGGCTCTTCAAGACCACCTCAAGCGGGGATGTGCACCATCGTTGGAAGCAGCTCTCCGTCCTTTGGGTCAAGTGGCTTTGGAAAGCTGGAGACAACATTACATCCAGGACCACATGCCGGCCCGAAGGGATTGCAAAGAATGTGTCAAAGCTGCTGCAAGGAGCAAACCGCACAGGCGGATAACGCACTCAGAAGCATATACTTTGAGTGTGGATCTGTCGGGACGCATGGTGATTGGCCAAGATCAAAGCCGCCACGACTGCAAATACATGATGGTCGCTGTGTACACCTTCCCCATCGATGGCGCAGGGAAGTCCTTGGTGGAAAAAGTGGAAGCGGGGGCGGATGCAGGTATGCCTTCGTTGGACCTCGACGAGTACACTCCCACGGAACCAGGGGGTGATGATCCTGGTGAGGATTTTCTTCCGGAGGAGGTGGACGAGATCCCGGGGGAGGACAGAGCTGAAGCACCATCACAGGCGATGGCGGAGGCCGCGATTCGGGCCGGTCACACGGCTTTTGATGCTTGGCAAAAGGAGGTGGCTTCCGTCCAAGATGTGGCTGTCCGAAATCTGACCGTTGTGGAAGTTCTTCCAAGCAGGGGTGTTCAGCACATCCTCCGAGCATTGGCCAGGATCTATGCTCGTCTTCGGAGTCTGGGCTTGCCTTTGTACAGGCTCCACTGTGACCGCGCCAGAGAGCTGATTTCGGCACCGGTTCGTCGTTGGACTTTGGACAGAAGCATCGTAACCACTTTGACCTCAGGGGATTCCTACAAGTCCAACGGCCGGGTCGAAGGAGAATTGGGAGTGATCAAAAAACATGTTCGCACCATCATGACCTCCACAGGCTTGGATCTCACTCAGTGGCCACTGGCTGCCATCCATATCGGTGAACGCCGACTCAGGGGGCAACTCAGGAGTCTTGGAGTCCCGGTTGGGCCTTTGTTGACATTTGGGGCCAAGGCCTATGCTTTGAAAAAGTCTTGGCAAGATCGTTATCAGCCCTGGAGGGAGATCAGAGATGAGGTGCGGGTGCTTGGACCGGCTTTGCAGAGTTCCTTCACTTCCACAAGCTACTATGTGCAGTCCACTGAAACTCAAAGGTACTTCTACACGGATGATGTGGTGGTGCCAAGTGCTGACCAGCCTGAGGCTGCTGATGATCATGTGTACTTGCCTCTCCAACAAGAACTTTCTGGCCAAGCGGCTTGGGAAGGTGACATTCCTCGCCGCCGTTTGCGTGAAAAAACTGCAATCCCACAAATGTCCAAGCTGGGCATGGAGGGGGAGCCTTGTGCCTACGTCCAGAAGTGGCTGTGTCAACACCGTGATGCTTTTGATGCTCATGGCCCGAATGATGAGAAGTTGTTCACAACCGAATGGAGCAGCGACAGCTGGACCATCGAAACACCCTCAAGAACATCCTCAACATCCTCAAGTGCTGGTGGGAAGGGCCCCCCGGGCGGAGAGTTGGGTTTGTTGGGGGTGGACAGCCTTGGAGGAGGGGATTGGGAGGAGGCGCCAAACAACTGGGCTGGTGGCTCATACCCAGTGGCCTCAATGCAAAAGATCAGGCCCGGGGGAGTTCCGATCACCAAGCTGCAGCTTCTTCGCTCTGCGCAAGCGAACTTGGCGGAGTATGTGAACGAGGAGATCGGGCATGGGGACGTCACCAATGGTGAGCAGGGCTGGTATAGTGGGGTGCTAGGCCAGGCCGTGTTGCACAAGGTGGAGGCTGAAGAACAACTCCTACAAAACCATCAAGATCAGGTGCAAGCATGTAACAAAGAGATGGAGGAGGAGTTCTTGGTCACGAAAACTGTGAGCACCAAGGAGGTGATGGACGATTTTGAGAATTGGGTTCCGGCCATTCAGGCTGAGTACACGCAGCTCGTCCAGACCAAGGAGGCGGTGCAACAGATCACGAAGAAGGCCTTGCAGGCCAAAGCTGAGAACGAAGGCAAGATCATCGAAGTGCTTCCGGCAAAAATGGTCTTCACGAGAAAGGCAGGAGCTGGCGTGAGAAGGGCAAGAGCTGTTTGCTGCGGAAACTACTCAGAAACCCGCTTCAGCGAAGATTGCTACGCTGGAGGGGCTGATGGATGTCAAGTCCGTGCTCTACTCCGCACTGCAGCTTTGAAGTCTTGGTCGGTGGCCGCCACTGACATTCGTGTGGCTTTCCTCAATGCTCCAAGAAGGCAAGATGGAAAACTGGTCGCCATGGAAATTCCGCAGGTGTACAAACGCCTTGGTCTTGCCCGTGAAGGTGAAGTTTGGCTGGTCAAATTGGCGATGTACGGTTTGACCACGTCGCCACGGGATTGGTCTCAATATCGGGACAGGACTCTGCCATCGGTGAGCTGGGTTCGAATGAGGGAGGACAGAAAGGTCCGTGGCCACTTTCTCAAGACCGCCGATGAGAACCTATGGCGCTTGGAGGAGGAGGATGTGGTGTCCGGTGAGAGCTACTGGACTGGTCTCATGTCAGTCTACGTAGACGACATCCTGCTTACCGGTGAGGAACATGCTGTATCATCGGCCTTGACCTCATTGCAGGCGATATGGACCACATCAAGTGTGGAGTGGGCATCATCACAAAGCCCGGTCCATTTTTGTGGCTTTGAGATCAAGTTGGATGAAAAAGGAGATGGCCTTCATCTGTCTCAGCAAAAGTATGAGCAGGAGATCCTGACTCGATGGAAAGTGAAGGAGAGTTCAACCTTCCCCAACTTCAAGATTGCGGAGGAGGACTTCGAGGCTCAAGAAGAGACGGACATCAGACAGGTCCGTGAAGCACAGGCCCTAGCAGGATCTCTCCTATGGCTTTCGACAAGGTCAAGACCGGACCTGGCGCTGGGAGTGGCGGTAGTCAGCCGCATGATGACCAGGAATCCCAAGAAGGCGATTGAAGTGGCCCACAAGTTGCTGGCCTATGTGAAGGGCACCCCTGGCGATCTTCACTACGCCGGACAGGTGCATCAGGTTTGGGGGGCTCGTGGCCAACTCAAGATTCCCCGACATGGGAAACTCGTGGAGGTTTTCGCTGACATTGCCTACGGCACTGGGTCAGGGCACCGAAGTACTCAGGGCTTGGCTATCTACTTCGCTGGAGCACCCATTGCCTGGCAGAGCTCTTCGCAGCCCTTCGTGACTCACAGTACAGCTGAAGCTGAATTAGTGTCATACTGTGAGGCCCTGACAGCTGGTCGCGCAACTGAAGCGCTGCTATGTACTATGTGGGGGGAGGAGCTGGTGAACAACAGCACCTTTGACCGGGTCATCTACGGTGACAATGCCGCTGCAATTGCTCTGGCCCATGGTAACAGTGCAGCTTCCTGGAGGACGAGGCATTTGAGGGTGAGGTCTAATTTGCTCCGGGAGGCCCTCGAGAATTGCAGCTCGTACCCTGGAGGAGCGTGGAAGTTGATGCACCTTCGTGGCACTGAGCTGGTGGCTGATGGACTCACAAAGCCGCTCCTGGGTCAAAGTTTTCAGAATTTTCTGTGTGATTTGGGCCTGAGGGTGGAGGAAACTAGTGTGAGGGTGCTTGGGGCGGAACGTCGACCTCCTCAACTACAAGATCAAAATGGGGCTGATCGGCGACATCCTCAAGTACCAGATCAAATGGGGGCACTTCGAGCCTTAGCAGCGGGTAGCGTGCTCGCGCATGTCGCGGAGGCGCAAGGGGATGTGGAGAAGGACTCAACCATCGGGGCCTTGTGGATCTGTGGTTTGATTTTGATCGCCATAGGGGCAATCTGGGTTTGCAAAGCTGTATGTGCTTCGGCATGCTGCTGCTTGCGGCGATTGCAGAAGGTGATCATCGAGCCGGCTGGTTCGCAGAGCCATAGCGAAGGGGATGAGACGGATGCCACTCCGACCCGGCCACAGAGAAGGAGATCGAAGAACCAAAGTTCAGCGGTCATGGATGAAAGCTCTCCTTCGTCCGAAGGTTTGGACGAGTCAGGAACACCTTCTGAAGCTGAGTTGCGCTTGAGAAAAAGGGGATCAAGGGCGCGAAGCGCGGAAGGCTCTATGTCCAGGCCGAGCTCTACGCCATTGACATCAAGGCGACAGTCGGGCTCGGCAAGCAGGTCTTTGTCGCGATCCAAGGAGTCGCAAGCCAGCGCGACAGTGACCGATGCAGTGAACTGTGCGGCTGGTGGAGCGGAAAGGGCGGCGATGAGCGCTGAGATGGCCGCGGCAGCAGCTGGGCGTGCAGCCGTGAGCGCTGAGCGAGCTTCGATGCTCTTGCACCAGGCCTTGACAGGCCCTGTGACAAAACAGTCACCTTCGAGGCACAGTGGAGTGCCCATGAATCCATGGAATCGGTTTCAGCAGGAAAACGCTGGCCGAGGATGGACAAAGGACAAAATGCGTGCAGAGTATTTTCGGGCAAAGTGCCACAATACCCTGCCTTGAGCCACGGCATTTTGCCAAGAAGCTCTCCACGCAGTTTCGCTTCCGCGAAAGGGGGAGTCTGACGGTGAGACCACCGCGCACAGGCATTTTTTGTCCAAGAAGAAAAGGTGGGAGGTTTTTGTCGAGACTGTAAAACATTTTGTAGTAGTTTTCGAACATATAAAATATATATATATATATTATATATTTATATATTTATGTATTTCCCTGATGCCATACAGCAAGGAGTGCCCCAGGTCATCTCACTAAAGGTTCACTTCATCTCACTGCAAACAGGTCGCACGTCGAGCAGCGGCTGCAAAGCGGGGACCACCAGCTGCCCGCGGGGACATTCATGGACATCCTCTCAAGAGCTCACAGCATGTGAACATCACACTGTGTTCCAGAATGTAGGCGACAGAAGGCGTCAGGAACAGGCTATCCTATGATGAACTGAATTACATGTCATGAATGCTCTTTTTTAATAATCATATAATCACAGCTACAGAACTAGACCCGTTGCACCGCCCGGGGCATTTCCACTCAAGCCTTTCAGATTGCTAGTGCTGCGTGGCAAGGCCATGGGAATGGTTATCAACCAGATGCAGCACAAAATCAATCAAAACCGTCCCCCCTGCTCCCCTCCAAGCCTTTGTTTGATTTCGACGCTTTGCACACTCTTTGGTGAATTCCCGCCGCATAGCTGTGGCAAGTTGTTTGCCTGGCAGGGTCAAGCACGTTGTCCACAAATGGGCCTAAGCGATGAGTCAAAATGTGCAATCAAAGTTTGCGGCAGTCGGCTTAGCTGGCCACAGACAACAAAATGATGCACCACAACCGTGAGTTAGCTTCATAAAGAAGATCATATGTGTATGTGTTAACACGTAGATAGGTAGTAAATGGTATTAATAAGTAGCGTGTCCAATGTACTGTATTGATATTGATAATGTAGAACTGCTGCATTGCCATTGCGATTGGCAGCTTTCAGCTTGGGCTTTTTGAATTTCAGCATTCTGAAGACATCGGAATGGCAAAATGCTTCGTGCAGCAAAATCATGCCCAGTTTGAGAGCAACCCGCTTTAAAGCTATTATGGCGTCAACTCAGGTGGAGGTTGTTGCTTGGGCTGGGTGATCTTCTTCATTGTCCTTGGCACAAGTGACCCTCGCCTGAATGCGACCTCAGTCCTAACTGCGCAAGGGATTCGGATACGCAATCCCAAGGGTCAATAGAGCGCCCATGGAACAGTTGGTCGATAGGATTCGGTAGGTGCTCCGAGCGGTGCTCCTGATTGGCTGGCTCTTGGATTGGTTGATCCTAGCGGCTCAGTCGAAATGGCCGACATTTGCCTGCTGAGGTGAAATATGTGAACGAGAGGCAGCAGGTAGTGTACATCGCCAACGGTCGGAAAACAGTGGAGCAAGGACCATTCACCAAGATTATTTGGCCATCTACACAGTCACCTGGCTATATATATAGTTGGAAAATGTTGGATACAGTTTTTACACAGCTCGTCGTTGTGAGCGTGAAAGGGCTTCTCACACAATCCATGGCACCGTACGATGCTGTATGCCACACATGTGTTCATGTCACTGAAGATGTTCGAAGGAGAAGTTCGAAAGGCACTGCATACGCCCCTTCGACTTTGACTGCCATCGCCTGTGTGCTGAGGCACGAGGTCCGGGAAGCGATCTTAGTGACCCAACGAGAGTACGCGGTGCTGAAGCATGAGCTGACCCAAGAAGAGAGCCATGAACCTGGACCTGGCATGGTCGGGTGGACTCAGAGTGTAACTATGTTGCGCAGGGGAAATGCGCAGCTTTTGGGAGCAAATTCTTAAAGCCCAATTCGAAATTGAGAGTTGTTTTCTACATTTATTTCTGTATTTGCATGTGTACTTGTTGTTGTTTGCGGAGAATGCTTATGTTTCTTATTTGAGTTGTTTTTGCACGGATGGCTAGATGCTGACATATCGAGACCTAGATGTTACCAGCACCTGCATCCCGATTGTTCAGACTAGTTGCTGCTATTTAGATCATTAGCTGCAGCCACATAGGAGTGTTTTGAGAATCATGGGGACACATGTTGTCTACTTTACGTTTTCTGCCCAACCCACTGAAGTCCAACATACAAAAGTTAACTCGAGATAATCATGGGGCAAGCTGACACGTTTCCACCATATCCCTTGCCTTAAGAAAATTTAAGGGCTGCCGCCCCTGCCGCCGACCCCGGATTCTCAGGTCCGGCTTTTCCTCCACTGGTTGGCATTGCGAGGGTTTTTCGAACAGGGGTTTCAGTCGTCCTTTTAAAGGTTGCTCTTCTGGAATCGTCGTTTCTTTCCGGTGTCGAGGTCGGTGCCTGTGCGGAGCGTTTCATTGCCTGCTCTCTGGATTGTGAGTTGACTCAGTTTACTCTCCTTGTCCACAGAAGACCGACTGAAACAAGTCACTAGCAACTCTGTAAAGATGACCGACAATTTGCTAGCATTTTCCACCACTAACCAGCCTCCCAAAAAGCATCTGAAACCACCCCTTCGCCACGGCTTTAACCCATTGAGTTCTGCTCCAAACGAGCCCCAATTCCTCGGACGTTCGGTGTCAAACGGACGCTCTGGATCCCTAGAGAAAAGACAATTTGCTAGCATTTTCCACCACTAACCAGCCTCCCAAAAAAGCATCTGAAACCACCCCTTC